TGTCTGTGCTTGTGTCTGGCTTGGAAAACTTCCTCTGCCTAGACAGGCCTAGATTCCCAGAGTGTCGATATGTGTACCTATTCTCCTGTATCTTGACATTCGTCATCTTTGTGCCTCTCATGGTCTTCTCCAACTTGCTCCTCTTCATCCGAATCTGCTGTCACTTGCAGAGACATCCACCAGCCAAGCTCTACATAATCATCATGGCCAGTGTGGCCTTGTTTCTGGTCTTTGCCATGCCCATGAAGGTACTGCTCATCATAATCTACTATTACAACTTAGACAATAGAGCCGGGTGGGAATTTATTCCTTTTTTGTACCTGTTGTCCACTATCAACTGCAGTGTCAATCCAATTGTCTATTTTGTGGCAGGGAGTCTTAGGAGAAAGAAAAGAAAGTCCTTCAAAGAAGCACTGCAAAAGGTCTTTGAAGAGAAGCCAGTGACAGGCCCACGTAAGAAGCAGCCCTCTCCGTTCCCAGTGTCCTTTCCCCTTGGCTATCCTTGAGGGTAGGTTACCTCAGTGTAGAAAAACTCTTTCACTATTTCCCATGTGGTGACTCATCTAAGATTAAAAGGAAATTCCTTCATTTCTCCTGGACATGAAGAATAATAACAAAACAGGGCCAGGGATTTAATTCAGTGGTGCTACCACCTGCCTTGCAAGCACAAGGTCCTGAGTTAGATCCTTGGTACAAAAATAATAATAATAATAACAAAATATACTGCCCACATGGACAGCATTGCTGACCTGGTGGGAACTCCTGCTCTCTTCCAGGTACTGACTCTAGCTATGACACACATTGTCTCATTTAATCTTAACAGCCTTAAGAGCCCGTGTTGTTATTCCACCATGACAGACAAAGGAACTGGGGCTTAAAGAAGTTTAATAAGGTTACAAGTCCTGGGGGACTGAGCAAACTGAGATCAGAGGGGTCTGATTCCCAAGCCTGGCCCTGCAAACATAATACTCAGGACAGTCTTTGAGAGGTGATAGCATGAATTGTTTATAGAACTGTCTTCAATCTACTACCACTTTTTTTCCCTGTGTCTGTTTTTAAAATCTTGTGCTCCTGCCAGGGATTGAGCTCAGTGGCACCATACCACCTTGGCAAGTGCAAGGTCCTGAGTTCGATCCCTGGTACAAAAAAAAAATCTTGTGCTCCTGATTACTCACAGGAAAGCATCTTTTCTTAGAAAACAATAGGAATTATTCTTGGAGACAGAAGACTACGTGTTAATACTTATAAAGGATCATTAGGCTAGTCTACAGAGACACCCTTATTATTCACACATTAAGCATTCATCTTGGGTGAGTTGGGCAGTAGATGAGATGTCCCATAATTCCTATATGAGTATAATCCTAGCCAGGCGTGATGGCACATACCTATAATGCCATCTCTCTAGAAGGATAAGGTAAGAAGAAAATTACAAGTTCAAGCCCAGCCAGGCAATTTAGTGACTTAGTGAGACCTGTCTCAAAAAATTTTTTAAATCTTTTTTAAAAGGATGAAGCCCCTGGGATCAATCCCCAGTACTGGGGTGGAAAAAGACTACCACTATCCTATAAAAATGAGAGGGAGCATGGAAATTCTCTTTCTACCTTCTCCCTTCCTTTGTTTAATAAGGGATATGCAGATATGTGTATATATACTTGCATAAAGTATAATACATTGAAGAATACTGTTTGCAAAATATGTACAAAACAAAATCATCTATTTTTTCTGGGTTATTTCAGCACATAGCTATTACACAATCTTCCTACCCACCATCCCTCATTCTTCAATTGATTACTAAGTAGTTGATTTGAAATGCAGCCAATTCTTTTTGGAATGAGGTGTTTTCTTTTTTTTATTACAAAGAAAACATTTTCCTGTAGTCCCAAGGCACTGCTGATGGACTTTGCTATTTTTAAGCTGAGTCCCAGGCACTTTCCAGGATTATTTATAGTGCTCATCCAGACATTTTCTTACTGGAATAGCGTTGCAGTCCAACATGACTTTTATATAATAAATTCTTAAATTTAATTCTACTTAATTAGGGATTTTACTGATTGTTCTGATTCATTGCGATTTGGACCATTCTAACAAATGATAATAATGTGCATCATAGGGCATAAATTAGAAAATGTATTTTAATAAATGTGACAATTAGTTGATATTCCTTAACATATGGAATGCTCAGTTAGATTGAGAGGAAATATGTTGAGACCCCAACAGACAGAGACATGGAAGGTCATTTATCATTCACAGGAACCACATAAACATATATGCACAGCAAAAGGGCCATAGACATAAGACACATGCGAGCTCATGGAAGAAAGAAATGTATGAATTCACTAATAATCAAACACGTAAATTAAAATAACAATGCTACTTTATCCTATGCCAGTGGAAAAGCTTCAAATACACAATAGCAACTCTTCTTTTGGCAGAGGGAGAGGGATGCTAGGGATGTAAGCAGGGCCTCCTATGGGCCAGGCAACTGCTCTTTCACTGAGTTGCACCCCAACTGGTTGTGACTTTATTAACTAACCAGACTAGCTAGAGGACATTCATAGAAACACTGACAAGCAGACAGCCTCTTCCATCTTTCTGAAGAATGCTTTGCTGTCCCCATGCTCTGTCCTGCAGTGGGTCATGATCTTCTGAGCGCTTGGGTGGGTTCCTGCATACTGAAAAGAAAAGACTCTTGCAAGGCTGACCAGCTGGCAAATGACAGTGTTACAAGGTGTCTTCACCACAACTCCCACCTATCAACATCATAGAGTGCTCTCCAGGATCCCTCTCATATCAAATGTGTGATTGTAGGAAATAATAGCTGTAAATCAGCAGCAGAACAAAGACTCCTTCTATCCAGGGCTCCAGACCCTGCACATTTGACTCAAGAGTGAAATCAGGCCTCTTCCAAGCTGGGTGATCAGAAAGCATTGCTTCATTTTCTTGAAAGCTGCCTTCCTTCACAAAATTGCCCTCTGATGGATTTGGCTAGCCCTGATAAATGTGGTGAGAGATTGCCGTAGCAACCTTCCTGCTTATTTATGGGTGAGATACCATTAAGAATGTCATTCACAACATCACAGTGTCCATCCTCTTTAAGAGATCACAGGATCAGGAAATAGTATGCTCTGATTACCTATGAACCTATACATATGAGCCTTACAGCTAATCATTTTTCGTGCTTTGCTTTGACTATAGGAAGCTCAAAAAACATGTTTCTGACTTACTTTAAGAGACTCTAAAGAGCTGGGGATTTAGCACAGTGGTGCTGCCACCTGTCTGGCAAGTGCAAGGTTCCAAGTTCAATCCCCCATACCCCCCCCCGAAAAAAACTCTATAGGACTAGTCAGTGTTTTGTGCTTCTTACTATGGCTTTTATTTCTTTACATAGTTACCCTTCCCCTTCTATCACTGAGCCAAATCCCCAGCCCTGTATATAGTTTTTTATTTCAACCTTCAGTATTCACTTTGTCTGGTTAACCACTTTAATGACAGAAAGAGGTATAAATAAATGTAAATTAATTTAAAATAGCAAACAATAATATCACAACCTCCCATTAGCCTCCCAAAGGGGACTTTTGAAAAAGTTTGGAAATCACAGGTCAAATCTAGAAGCTCTTAACTGAGATGCTTTATTGTTTTCTGATTCTCTGTCAGTTTTAGGGAAATATTTTATTTCATGTTCTATACTACTGGGTAATTTGAGAAACCTATGTCTTCTCCAAATGTCTGTTTTATCTCTATATTATTTATTGCTTCTTTAAATAGCAGTATCCATCCATAAAATATCTTCAGTTCCTTATAGGAAGGAATATTGTCAAAAACTAGTATATTATTGTTACACTTAATGTATTCACTTATTAAACAAATATTTCTTGAGCACCCACTTTTTGTGGCATGGTTCTTAGTACTTTATTTGAGTTGGGTTCCCTTGACCCAGCTGATAGACCCTGAGGTTGAGGCCACATCTTATTCCTCTGTGTGTTCAGAACCAGCAATTTGGCCATCTAAGAGGTATCAATAAATGTTTGCTTAAAGAAATAACTGATAGTTAAATGTTATTCTTATACTTCTTGTTTTCCTCTGAAAAATGTTATCAGGCCAGGCATAGTGGTACATACCTATAATCCCAGCACTCAGGAGGCTGAAGCAGGAGGATTGCCACAAGTTCGAGGCCAGCCTGGGCTATATAGTGAGTTCAAGGCCAGCCTGAACTAGTGAGACCCTGTCTCAAAAAAATGAAAAAAATTATATTAAAAAATAAAACTTTTATCAGTAATTGACAAATAATTTTATATATTTATGAGATATGATGTGGTTTTGATATATGTATACATCATGAGATGATTATATCAAGATAGTATGTCTGATACCTTATTTAAATATTGTTTTGTGTGATGATTTCTCTGACTTATTAAAATCCACTCTTCCCACAATTTCTTTGTTTTTTAGTGCTTGAGATTGAGTATAGGGCCTTGTGTATGCAGGACAAATTCCTCCACTGAGCTATACCCGTAGCCCCTCTTTTAATGATTTTGAAATATTTAGTGAATTGTTATTAAATGCAATCACCATGCTGTGCAATAGATCTGGAAAATGTATTCCTCCTGTCTAAAAGGCTGTGCCTTTTAGACAACAACTCCCTGATCTCCTACCCACCCAGCCTTTGATAACCACTATTCCACTCTTTGCTCCTTCAAATTTGACTTTTTAAGATTCCATATAGTATGTGAGATCATGTAGTATTTGTCTTTCTGTAATTTCTGCCTTCTTTCATGTCTCATTATGTTATTAATTAGAGGCAATACCATACACTGATTGTTAGTTGTTTTAAGTGTGTTAGCACCACCTCCCAAGTAGCTTTCAGGATTCTTGAGAATATTTATATCTGTCTGTCTTTAAAGTGATAGTGATAGTGTCTGTCTGTCAATGGTGACATCATAATACAAGACTGACTGCTTTGTAAATATCCAAATCAAAATCATGACTAAGCTGGATGTGGTAATGCATGCCAATAATCCCCATACTCTTGGAGGCTGAGGCAGGGGCCTTCAAGTTCAAATCCAACCTAGGCAGCTTAGCAACTCAGTAGCCTCAAAAATAAAAAACAAAAATAAAACCTTGGGTTCAATTCCCAGTACTGCAAAAACTATGGATAAACTACTAGACTCCATAAATTAAATTATATGTTCTAGAACCAGTTTGCTGCTGATGATGATAATTAGCCCTTGGGTCTCCTGTGTTTGCTTGGTGATACAAAACTGATATTTTGCATTTTATTCTCTGTAATAACTGCTTGTCTTATATAATATCTATAGAAGACAAAGATCATTCACCTTTATTTTCCTGATCTGAAGTGCACTGAGTGATTCTGGTAAAAGATTACAGCAGAAAAGATGTTTCCAGTGAGCCTTGCTTTAGTGTCTGAAAAATGCCCACTGACATCCAAATCACGCACTGTGAAGGGCTCCATGGGGGCCAATGTGTACACACTGCAGTCCACTCAGTATTCATGCCAGCAGTCGCATAAATGCTCTGACTTCCAAACTGTCTGGAAACCAGCCACTTAAATGCTCCCTTGTAGATAAATATGAAAACCACAGCAAACAAAAACATTACAAGTCACCATTACAAGTGCAGAGAAGGTACAATACATTGAATCAGCACTGTTCCTTTGTCCCAGCCCAAAGTGATGTCCTTCTGGAAAAGACATCAATAGGTCAGCAGTCAACTCTCACTCATTCCCACTACCTCTCCAGCCCTGCCCCTCCTCTAAGTGTCTTTTTCTCATTTTCATAAGCCTCTGCCTCTGCCAATAAAGATAATTCAGAGAGAAAACCATAGGGTCAGATCCAGCTCTTCTTTTCTCATTGTGACAATAGGCCAAAGAAGTAAATCTTGGTCCATTTCAGCACTTTGCCTTCGATGCATTCTCCTTGCCTCTCAATGGCTCTGCAGTCATGAGTCTCCTCTGGTCCCTGTCCATGATTAAGGAGTCACTGGTTGCTTTGTCAGGGGTTGTCTACCCTGAGATCACTAGGGTGCTGGGAGGTGCAGGACAGAGATCCAGGGTGGGTTTCCAAGTGCAGGAGCAAGCATCCAGGTATGAGAACAAGCATCCAGATGTGGGAGCAAGTGTCCAGTTGTGGAAGCAAGTGTCTAGGTACAGAAGTGAGTGTCCAGTTGTGGGAAGGTGTTTCCAGGTGCAGGAGCAAGTGTCCAAGTAAGGGAACAAATGTCCAGGTGTAGAAGCAAGTGTCCAGATGTGGGACTGAGTGTTCAGGTGTGGAAGCAGGTGTCCAGCTGCAGGAAAGAGTCACCACTACAAAAGCTCACTTTTGTACAGTTACACATCAGGCAGATATGGACTGAACATCAACTGGACACCCCATTATTCACTAAGCCCTGAGGGACACAAAGGTGGACAAAACAAGCAGGAATCCCTGCTTGTGGGAATGTTAATATCTGGTGGAAAATAGTTTTAATTTTTAAAATCTATTTCAGTGGTCACCCGGGGAATCATAACTGACTCACTATGATGCCCTCAGCTAAAACCTGAGGACTTCCTGTATCCACAGTCAGAACACAGATAAATGTTTGTTGATTTGGGGGGAGAATCTCATGGAAACAAATACAAAAAAATGACACACAAGTAATACATGTAGTGTCTAACAGCAGTAAATGCTGAAGATAAAATAAAGCTGGGGAGAATGTCAGTAGTGGGGAGAGGGAGGCAGGTGGTATGTTGGGCAGAGTAACAGCCAGAGGTAAGCTGAGCAAGACCTCTAAGGGTAATATGGACTGGGAACACTGTGAAACTTAAAATCTAACCTGAACCCAGTTTAATGGTGCATACCTCCAATCCAAGCACTCAAGAGTCTGAGGCAGGAGAATTGCTACAAGTTCAAGGCCAACCCAAACTACATAGTGAGAACCTGTCTCAAAATAAATAAATAAGACTTCCAGAAAAATGGCAGAGTGGTGAGCAGCAAAGAGCCTTTCTGAAGTTTGGTATCCAGACACTGGAAAAAAGCAACATGAGGAAGAGAAAAAAGAGGGAAATTGGTCCCAGGGACCCAGGAAAGATCTAAAGTGATAATTGAAGCCCATATGGAGAGCAAAGAGAGATTCTCTCCAACAAAGAAGAAAGAGGCAGCAGGCAGAGCTTTCTCTCTGAACCCAAACTCACTGGGTGGGAAGTGTAGTTTGAACCTGTAGATGAACTGTGACTACTGGCAACCCCAGAGATCTCCATGGAGAAATGCAGATCAAGGCATAGCAGTGGATGCTGTGGACTGTAGCGGTTGGTGACTTATTAGAGTTCAAATGTCCCCTAGGAGAGAGCAATTGTTCTTCTCTTCAACAGTTTCCTAGAGTTTGCGTGATCATCCTGTGTCCTCTGGCTTCACTTGAAACCGTCTCCTATTCTTTTACCTATCTATTCATCTCTTCCAACTCCTTCTAAGTCCCCATCCTGAAGGGTAAAGTTGCTATATTAAAAGAGTTTATTCACTATAAACATATTTTGGGCTGGTCCTTGATTTTTTTATTCAATTCACATGGTTAAAAGTAATAGATTAATAACTACCACAAATGGTCAATATCTAAGCTGTGCTTCAAGCTACTGTGTTGCTGATTATATCAGTTGGGCTAAAGGGTTGTGATTGATTTAATGTGTTTTCCTTTCTGACATTATGAAAATGGGAGTGTCTCTTGAGTCTTTAGAGACTGAAAACCTAAAGAATAGCTATATCAGAAAGATCAAAGTACTAACCCAGGAATTAATCCAAGGATGGCCCAACAACAAAAATAAAAATGAGAAAACACTTAAGCAAGGAACAAAGGCAGACTTCCTGTTCACCAATGGTAAATTCTAGGGTAAATGAGGTGGAAAAGTCTGACAAAAAACTACCAGGGCACCCTGAAATCATAGAACAGGAAGTAACAAAACAGATCAATCAGGCTCTAGAAAAATTCAAAACAGAAATAATTTACCACATAACTACAGAGATAGTGAGCACAATGAAAGACATGATTAGAGACTCTAGAACAGAAACAGACAAAAGATAGATGAGCTCAGGACCATGACAGAATCCATGAATGCCAAAATAGGAAAGAAATGGAATCCATGAAACAGATACAGATATTCAGGAGATTAAAAACTCCACTGAAAGCATTTGCAGCAGAATAAATGAATGTGAAGATAGAATTTCAGATATAGAAGATATGATTGCAGTCAGTGACCATGTAAAGAGAGATCTCCTAAAAACAGTGAGGGATCATGACAAATTGATCCAACAACTCCTAGATGATGTAAAGAAGAATAATATAAGACTTATAGGAATCTACGAAGTAGCAGGAAAAAGTACAAAAGAATTTTTAAAAACTGTTCACAGAATTAATGACAGAAAACTTCCCAAACAGGGAATTTGACATACAGATAAGTGAGGAATATAGGACTCCAATTAGCTATGATCAAAAAATAATCTGCATGGACATATAATAGTCAAGGTCCCAGAAACCCAACAGAAGAATAAATACTACAAGCAGTTAGAGAAAAGAAATAAATCACAAGCAAAGGAAAGCCCATCAGAATCACAGCAGACTTTTCAACACAAACCCTCAGGTCAAGGAGAGCTGGAGTGAGGTGTTTCAAGCCCTAAAAGAAAACAACCTCCAACATAGACTGCAAAACTCCCTTTTAAAATTAATGGGGAAATAAGATAATTCCATGACAAAGAACACTTGAGAAACTTCACGAATATCAAACGAGCACTAAAAAAATTAAAATAAAATAAAAAACAGCACTACAAACAATTCTAAACAACATCTAGTAAAATAGTCTAGTAAAAGACAATGAAGGTCACAACATGATGAGACCCAACAGAGCAAATCAATTAGGCAAGGCAAGAAACTAAAGGGAGGGGGGAAAAATTAAAAAGAGCCAACAACAGGACAATAACATGACAACAATAAGCCAATACATAACAGTTATAACCATCAATGTCAATTGCCTCAATTCACCAATCAAAAGAAATAGACTGGCAGAATGCATTAAGAAGCAAAATCCAACAATATGTTGTATATAAGAAACACACTGAGTTCAAAAAGAAACTCATAGACTGAAAATGAAAAGATGGAAAACAGTTATCCACGTGACAGGAACCCAGAAAAAAGTAGGGGTGGCTATCTTATTTGCAGACAAAATAAATTTCAACTGAAAACTGATTAAGAGAGATAAAGGCCACTACATCCTCGTAAAGGGAACAATCCAAGAGGAAGAGATGACAATAATAAATATATATGCACCAAATATTAATGCCCCCAACTATATAAAACAAACATTAAGGTACATGAAAAACCAAATAAGCACTAATACAATTAGAGTGGGGGACCTAAATACCCCACTATCACAAATAGACAGATCATCTAGACAAAAAATCAACAACAAAATACTGGAGCTGAACCAAGATTTTGAACAAATAGACTTAACAGATGTCTACAGAGTGCTCCACCCCACAAATCAGAATATACATTCTTTTTGGGTACACATGGGTCATTCTCCAAAATAGACCACATAAATTAATAGCTCATACTACATGTTTAAATAAATGCAAAGGAACAAAAATTAGCCCGTGTATATTATCACACCATAGTGCAATTAAACTGAAGATCAATAGTAAAAGAAACTGCAAGAACTTCACAAACATATGGAAATTGCGCAACACTCTCCTGAACAATCAATGGGACACCCAGGAAATTAAAGAAGAAATTAGTCAGTTTTTACAAATAAATGATAATGATAATACAACATACAGGAATCTATGGGACACAATGAAAGCAGTTCTACGTGGAAAATTCATAGCAGTGAATGCCCACACTAAGAAAACAGAGTGAGCTCAAATAAAAAACCTAATGAGGAATCTTAGTCTCCTAGAAAAAGAAAAGCAAAAAAAACCCAAAGCTCATACAAGGGAGGAAATTATAAAGATCAGAGCAGAAATCAATGCAATGGAAACTAAGAGAATGATACAAAAAAATGAATCGAAGAGTTGGCTTTTTGAAAGAATAAATAAATCCAATAAACCCTTAGCCAACCTTGTCAAAAAAAGGAAAGAAAAGGCTCAGATCCATACAATTAGGAATGAAAAAGGTAAAGTCACAACAGATCCAGCAGAAATCCAGAGAATCATCAATACCTACTTTGAGAACCTGTATTCTAATAAAATGGAAAACACAGAAGACATGGACAGATTTCTTGATACTTACAAATTACCAAAGTTGAACAAAGAAGATAAAAAATTCTAAACACCCCAATTACAATCATAGTTGAAAACATAATTAAAAGTTTACCAACTAAGAAAAGCCCAGGTCCTGATGGCTTCAGTGCTGAATTTTATGAGACATTTAGAAAAGAAGTACTGCCACTAGTCTTTAAACTTTTCAATGAAATTGAAAGGGAAGCAATACTTCCAAATTCAATCTGGGAAGCAAGTATTACTTTGATTCCCAAACCAGGGAAAGACCCAACTAAAAAAGAGAAGTACAGGCCAATCTCCTTAATGAATATAGATGCAAAAATCCTTAATAAGATACTACCAAACAGAATACAGAGGATCAGCAATAAGATCACACATCCTGACCAAGTCAGATTTATTCCAGGGATACAAGGATGGTTCAACATACGTAAGTCAATAAATGTAATACACTATATTAACAGAGTCAAGGACAAAAACCAAATGATCCTCTCAATGAATTCAGAAAAAGCATTTGAAAAAATTCAACACCCATTCATGATTTTTAAAAAAACCTGCAAAAAATTGGAATAGATGGTCTATATCTCAATTAATAAAGGCTATTATGGAAAACCAACAGCCAACATCATATTAAATGGCCAAAAACTGAAAACCTTCATGTTAAAATCAAGAACAAGACAAGGGGGCCCACTATCACCACTCCTCTTCGATATAGTTCTGGAAATACTAGACACAGCAATTAGACAAGAGAAAGAAATTAAAGCAATAAAGATAGGAAAGGAAGAAGTTAAACTGTCACTATTTGCTGACAATATGATACTCTACATTGAAGACCCAAAAAATTCCACCAAAAGACTTCTAGACTTAATTGATACTTTTAGCAGGGCCCACTATCACCACTCCTCTTCGATATAGTTCTGGAAATACTAGACACAGCAATTAGACAAGAGAAAGAAATTAAAGCAATAAAGATAGGAAAGGAAGAAGTTAAACTGTCACTATTTGCTGACAATATGATACTCTACATTGAAGACCCAAAAAATTCCA